TAGCTAGCACATTGAACTCAGAACATCGGGCTGTGCATCTGCTCACTAAGCTGACCGAATCTGCTTGGAGCACGGGTGTGGCTTGTCGTCGGCACAGGCTCGCTTCAACGACGACAGTCGCTCTGGGCTGGCGATCCAGAAGAACCTGGGCCATGGCGGACACAAGGGGGTTGGGGACATTTAGGGCTTGTGTTATAGAGCTCGGAAGGGAATAAGGTCTAGATAGGTCAAAGGTTTTAAGGAGCTAAAGTGACCTAGTGTACCAAACGGTTTCGGATTGGTCTAGGTGGATACACGAGAGTAGATGGTTATAGCCAGAATCCTCTAATTTCTGTTTCAAACCACAATTTACAAGATCAGGAGCAGTGGTTTCTGGAATGACTTCAAACTATTAACCTACAGTGTTCGGAAAATTTGACATTGCTATGTCGGAATTGTTCTAGTGGGATGTATGACCATTGGAGTCTAAATATTGGGTAGTTCATGATATTGCTCCTGTCGGTGAGAAGAGCTTCGACAGTTGCTGGTTTTCATGTTAAAGGATCATCGGCACATTTTCGGCCTCTAAACCTTGGTATGCCAACATACCAATGTGTATGCTTCTTAGTCGCTTGAGAACCCAAACAAAAGGTCACAACACTCAAAGACTCTTGAAAACCCGAACAGCCAAGCTTGGAAATCTCCAAAGGGTTTGTAAGTATTGGCCTAGCATCAATCCAGGGATTCGGGTGTTTTAGGGTTGTGGCAGTTCAGGTTCATGGGCTCAGGGTGTTCGGGGTTTCACAGTGTAGGGTGTCAGGTTTAAGGGTTTGGGGTTGGGGGTTGAGTGGTGCGCGGTTTTCGGTTTAGGCTTTTCGGAGCTTAACGAACAAGACTGATCATGATCAGCAAATATCTCGGAAACTAAGGCTACAAGATCACTATGCTGGATTTGGAGCAGCACTGCGACTGGTGGGGGTGTTTCCGGGCCTCGGCTTGCAAAAGCCTTCAAGCTCGGCCAGGGCACATCCATGGTTCGGTTTTGGGTGTCTTACTTAAGACTAATCAAGCTAATTTCGGTATATATTGTCTTCAAGAATATAGATAATGGGGTTTCTTTTGGGTTGTCAACCATCGAGCAGCCGACCTGCCACCATCGGCTTTGTTAGGGTTCTAAACTGGGAGTGGGTCCCAATGCTACAGGTGAGTTAGCTGAACAAATAATGTTTTAAAGCTCGATCTTGCACATAGATCAGATCTACATGCTCTACATACCCTACCTATACCGCAGAAGTCCGGATGCCCAGAAAAAGTGACTCACCAAATGCATTCCAATATTCTGATAAATATTGGCATTGTCCAAGCCCTTAGCAGTGTAACCCTATATATGTATTTTGTACATAGCAGACTATGCTGTTCAGAAACCCTGAGAAGTCCCGACCCCGACCCCAAGGTAGGATTCGGAAGTCATGTGTGGCCCCAGCACTCAAAACATGTTCTGTGAAGTCCGGCAGCAGAGCCGGGCACGAGTTGCACGGCGGGACAAAGGGTTTAGGTTTCGGGCCTCGGGGTTTCAGGGCTGCTTTCGACTGGATATGAAGCTGCTGCAGGACTTGGGGTCATCAGCGCAGTTAAGTTATTTCATCTGGGATTGAGGTGCATTTGGGACCTACTGGTTCGGCTTGCCTGGAACGAAGGATTGCTGGGAAGCTAGAGGTTGCATATGTTCAGGTTGATGATGTTGCTTGGCTTTGCATAGCGACTTGGGGGCTTTAGGCTCCAGGATAGTTTGGTTTGTTTCAGCAGGCGTGAACCCCGAGGACCCAAATATCAGAGAATTCATCCCTATGCTGCAGTTACAAAGTGCACTAAGTCGTTTGGATAGTTACTTTGGGAATTAGAATTAATGCTCTAGGCTCGAAACATCCAAGTGCCTTGTAAACCTTATAGACATTGCTTGCTGGGACAGAGACTAGGGGTTGCCCCTTTAGACCTTGGGAATTAAATTAACCCAGAATGAAGTGTGGAAGTACACATTCGAGTGTCGGCTGAATAATGTAAGGAATTATAAAGACAACCCCTAATTGTAGAAAGCCCCAAGCCACAAACCTCGAAACCTTTCCGCCCCAATGGGATTATATGATGCTAAATCCCTAGCATATAGGTCTGCTGATACATAGGCAACATATATATATATATATATATACATATATATATATATATATATGTTCAACAAGCTTCCTGTAACTTCAGAACAAAGCTCCGATAAAGTGAAGTGGTGAATAGCCGAAACCAGACCAATCTATCCCCGTGCCCCCGCGCACACCACTACTTAAGTCTGTGTCTACCCCGGTCAATCCGAACCCCTTCCCTCATAAGCACATATGGGTATCTGTGAAGTATATTTCTATGTCCCCGGCGAAGATTTAGCTGCATTCTCTGTAAAGATTTATACAAGTCCTTTGCAACTTTGCTTCCGAACTGCAAGTCTAAATAAAACCTTAGAGCTCAAAAACCAAGCCATCCAAATGTGTACATCGTATCATTGTTGGAGCATAACGATCAGACCAAGCAACTGCCGAAGCCGATCCACGATGCAATCCTGAGTGAAACGTACCCAGCCCAGGCTATGGGGGATCTCATCAAGTCGCTGCGATCACTGTCTGGCGTCACATCGATCTCTTCAACATGCAATGCCGAGGACAGTGTACCAATAGCTTCAGTCTAAGTGCCTCTGCAGCAGCTTCTCTTATATGAAGGTACCTTATCGATCAAGCAGTTCATGCCGAACATAGCATTCTTGAACTAGTTGACGTAGAGTTCATACCACACATACTTGGAACCTAGTATATGTATCTTGCAGTCGAGAATCCCATTGGCCCGGAGCCTTCAGATGCTTGCAGAAGACCAGGTAGCAGATGAGGGAAGGTAGCTGGGCCTGTCAACAATGTATCGGACATTCTGGGCGTAGGGTTTGCAAGGGTTGCAGGGTGCACTAGGGAGTCTAGCCTTGCATGCTCGGGTTTGCACATGTTGTTTGTGCCACCGCAGATGTCGACATTACGGCAAGAAACATTCCCACTAAGGCACCTCCTGAGCTAAATCCCCGAAGCTTTCGAGCTGTACGTTGTCAGGCAGCAGGCCCTTCACAAGCTCGTAGTCGCTTTTCATCCAATCCACGTCACAAGCCATTTTGGGGCCATGGAGCTTTGCCTCAGTTGTCGCTTTCAAGCAGCCCCGGAACCAGGATTGCAGCAAACACATGAAAACTGACACAACAGGCTTTACTGCACTGTATAGCTCTAGCTGCCGCATCACCACTGTACCGAAAAAGTTCGGCAATCTTCTCCCCAAATTTCGCAGGGTACTTCCTGAGATTGTGGGTCAGATATAGGGGCATATATGTTGTTAACCGAAAGAGAGAAACGCAAACCTACACTGTGCACAGCTTCGAACTTATACAGGCGGCTAGGACAGCTAGGACACCCAGAGGCAGGAAGCAACAGCGACTTACCAGTGTAGCGAATCTTGCCGACTTTCGCATCGTAGTAATGGTGTGCCAGTTTCGACAATTGAAAAGCTTGGCGATCGGCCACAGACAGGAATCCGCCATGACGAACAATGCCTTCGATGAAGTCAGCATCGTTGCTCCAGGCCACATGCCTTTTGGCAGAAGCCTGCCCGTAGTTCGCCATGTACCAGAAGCCCTTGAATACCTAGGCAAGCAGAATCTATTCCTAGTGCTCTGGGAAGGTAGCACCCCCAAACTCTGCACAACAACACTCGTCTTTATTAATGGAATACAGGTTGCCCGAACTCGGTTCAGAAGCCACTCAAAGCAGGGCATGTCGTCCAGACAAGAACCAGCTGGCTGTTCTAACAGCCAGCGACATCCCTTCATTGACACTACAAGCAACAGCAGTACAACTCTCGCCAACAGCAAATTGCCATCTGCCACAAACTTGTACCCACTGTTGCCCATGGGCTTGATGATGCTTCGTCCTGATGTGGCGCGGGACCTTTGCAAAGAAATGCTCATGCATCATGTAGAAGTTACATCCACCATCACTCCCAGTATTGCATGCAAGACTAGCAGCATTCCAGAGTAGCTGTTGCAGCAGAGCCCAACGATGCACACACCACCGCGCTTCAGCCGACGAACTTCATTCAGAGCAGCAGCGAAGCCACCATCGGTAGTCATATCAAGTGCAATAGGGTTCTGGAGCAGGTCCAAGGCGACTCCAACATTACCATCCTCGACAATCAACCGACTTGCATTCTAACTCTAACTACACTGGTCCTCCGTACATCAAATACGTGCAGGCAAAGCTCATCACGTAAAGCTCCTGTGACATGTCCCTGGCCAGCGAACAATTCGACAAAGTCGTTCACCTGCAGGAGGATTCATACCATTAATGGGTTCAGGGGCATTTAAGTTGGCAAATTCAGATCTAGAACAGCAATGCATCCAGCCCTAGGTCTTTGGTGTTTTCTTAAAGAGGCCTGCGTTTGTAAAGACTACTACACAGAAAACCCTCAGCCCGCCCTAGCCTCCTTCTGGTGAATGTCCGAATTGAAGGCCAGCAAAAGATTGGCCAAGCAGAGCCCCAAGGGGGCTCCCCATCGCAAAAGTTCCGCAACCACCATATCCCGAACTAAAAAACTAGGGCACAACACCTGAAACCTGTGTCGGCCACGACATGCCAGCATGCAAAACGAACACCACACATCAGCATGAACGGCTGCACTCACATCACCAGCAGGATTGCAAAACAAAGGGCCCACTTGATCGGTTTAATGCCGGGCAGACATGCGAAGTTGCACGTATGAAGCACACGTAGGCAACCAGTATTGGATGCAGGCCATATAAACAGGCACTGTACAGAAAATTAAGAAAGAGCTTGGTGTCATGGGACAGGCCACACTCATACATCCGACAATCGGTCGGACCACGATTGATCACAGAACCCAGCCATACCCTTGGGCCAGGGTCATCTAATTAGCTTTCCGAACACACATCATCAGTCGAACCTTCGGCGACTGAGCTCGCTGGGCGAAAGGTTGCTCAACAACTGCGCCCTCTCATCACTGAAGTTCCAAGCCTGAAGGGCTTCCCAATAATTCAGGTACCCCTCCTCCGTGCACTCCCGACAATAGGCTTTCTTCCTCTTCCGAAACTCGCCGGGCACATAATCGCAATCCCCATGCGGAGCATCAACCTCGATCCTCACTTTAGGTGGGGCAGCAGCATCCCGGACAGCCATGGCCTTCCTTTTAGCCATAGCCTTGGCTGTTGCCTTAGGCTCAGCATCCTGAATCGGCTCGCAATCCTCCTGCTCCACATCTTCATGATCGCTCTCGTACTCCCCCTTCCACCTTGAGTATGTTGAGTTCACAGCCCGAAGTGTATACGACGATCGGAATACCCGAAACACCAAACCAAAGACTAAAGTCTCACTATGTAAAGTAATTCGAGCTTCGGGTCTGTTGGTCTAAAGCCCTGTTCTGTCCGGTTTGCAAATCCAAGCGGCTGGGAACTCGGCAGGAATGGCTCGGGGGCCAAGCTCTTGGACATGTCCTGGATGCTGCTCAGCACCTTGGATGTTGTGTGCGGTTGGGGGGAAGCCAGGTTCCGGGTCTATGGTTGAGATCGCCATGCGGTCGTAATGGAGCAAGTAGCATGTCAACTATATAGGCAATATAGGCATAACAGCAGTTATAAATAGAGGCAGTCCTTGCATGACAGAGCACCGCTGGTGGGACCACAAAGGTGTTGCGCATCTGGTCCGGGGTCTTCTTCAAGCTTTGCTGCTTCAGCCGTAAGAAGATAGCATTAAGCTTCTCAACCTTTGCAGCCCCTACAGCACCATCATTCGAACTCACTGCAGTGGAAACTTCCGAAATAGCCCCATCATCTACAGCCATCGTCTTGGATGCCACTGAGGAGGGCGAGGCCACGGAGAGCTTGCGGTACTTCATCACGAGGCTCCTGGGCTCTAGAGCTTGCCGATATTTTTTGATGTTTGAGTAGCGATACGTATTTCAATGCTAACAAGCCTCTCCACACGAGAGCTTGCAGAGCTGGCAGCCGACATGGTAACTGTGGAGCTCGGGGATGGGACAGCCTTGCTTGACATAGGCGTGTCGGGGTATCATATATGTCTAAGTAATTATGCTCATAATACATGCTTCAAGGGGACTGATGTCACATCAGATTCGCACAGACCCAAAGCCTGGAGGGAATCGAATTCCCCATCGGACGCCTCATCCGTAGCATCCTCATCATCACCACTTTCTTCAGCTCCAGACGAGTCTGCATCCTGCATTAGGAAAGGTATCCTCAAAGCCAGCAGTACTGCAATATTTAATTGCATGACAACATATATGTTCTTACATCCCAAACCTGCTTGGGAAGGTAGTCAGCCAGCTCGCCCTTGAGTTCCGATAGTGCCCTGTTTCGGGAGCCTTTCGCACGCTGTGTGAGGCGCTTGAACTTCGTCGCCTGGGCTGCTGTGTGAGACATAAGCCATGCAAGAACATAACCAACTAGCCCGGTATAACCCCAGAGATCCCAAACCCTATATCGATAGACCTGGATTCAAACAAGCTAATAGTATATACAGTACTCTGTGCAATCCAGCTTCCAATTTCCTCATGGCATTACCATTCTTCAATGCCCAATCTTGCACAGATGGGGCATTCACACTTATTCCTCGTGGGGTAAGCTTCTTGTTGTAGTACCACAAGCGCACACCATCTGCAATCAGATGCGCGCTGTACCGCTTGCGGCCTTTGCGGCTGCCACGAAGAACTGCAGCAATTGCCTGCTACACAAAAGTTCTGACGATGGACAAGAGCATTAGGGATGTTTGCAGGATTTTGGTTTATTTAAAGCACTTTAACTTCAGGTTGGTGGATCACGGCAGGGTATGGGATCATAGGCAAGGCAGGTGTTTTCTGTTAGACATATCAGTCAGGATTGTGAAAGTTCAACTGTTCTGAAAACAGACCCTATTTGTTCATTTCGGCTTGCTTTAGTACCATTAGCAGCATGGTAAGTTTTCTGCACCCTGCAGGGGTCATCTGGTGCCAGGTCAAAGAACTATGGGGCTGTATTAGTGGAGCGATCTACCAGCAAACATATTGAGATCTTTGCTGGTTGTATTTACAGCTAGATACTTTTCTCTGATGTGTCTATATACAGATTAATATGATGTCTTAAGAACCCGCAAAGCTAAAGGAAAAGTAGCTCCCAATGCCCTAGCTGACCCACAACCCATCCAATCGTAAGCCCTCACCCCTGTGCAGTCACTGCGAGGGGAGATTATGTACCCAACGGATATAGATTAGCCAAGTCGCGATGGAAAAGTACATATACTGAATGATTCAACGAACCTTTTGCTACTTTCGTTCGAAGACCAATCTTCCTACTGAATGTGTCCATCAAACCTCTTATCATCCAGCCCAAGGCCCCCATATACCCTTAATCCAAGGAACCCACCCCGATAAGACAACTTTTCCCACGACTGTCTGAAAGCATTAAAACACCCCAGAAACCCCTTCATGACAAAGCGCCGCAGACCTGCACAGAGGTTGGTTTGTCAGAAGGCCCCACTTGTGTGTTTCAGGATTTCGCTTGTAGGCTTCTATACGTGTATATATGTATGTGAATATCTTTCGATTGTATATACTATATCAATAAGCATATGTGAACATATTATATGTGCATATATATATATGCTTATTATATCGGTATATATGTATATATGTATATGTCTGCATGTCTCTATATATTGGTTGCGTATTACCTAAGGTCGTACTGCCTGGGGACTTGGGCATCTTTCTATAGGGTCTTAGACCTTACAAGCTGAAGCCAAATAGTATATGGTAGTTAACGATCCTTTTACCTCTAGCTCTCTCTCTCTCTCTCTCTCTCTATATATATATATATATGTATGTATATATACAAATATAATACACATCTCTGCTAGGCATTTCTCTCTCATGGTAAACATACGGTTCTACATTCCCATGACCATAAGACACTCTCTCTCTCTCTCTCTCTCTCTCTCTCCGACCAGCTTTGAAAGATAACATCTCCCAATTCAATCAAGCCAAAGTTCCCCAAGTGTAGAAATCTTCCACAAATTGCCAACCACCCCAGCAATCCCCTCACCCTCTGAGATTTGCTCCCTTCGTCCCTCACCCTGTCTCTCCCCCTGTTTCTGAAATATCGACCCTATATAACGAAATTTGAAAGCAAGCTGCCCTGGGGTTGAGCTCCACATCTTTGCGGGAAACCTGCCGCTTCTCCTTGAGCAGCTGCCCGGTTCGATCCACCAAGAGGTTGAAGCCGACCTAGGCCAGCCCAGCCACACTCTATGAATTCCCCATAAAGTGCGCCATGCATACATGGCAAGCAGCACAGACACCGAGATGCAAACATCAGACTCTGCATGTGCACAGATATATACACACATACCAACATACCGTAACATACCCATGAACTCCGAAAGATGCAGACAGCTTCACTGTGCAATAAAGCGGCGCCCTGTAGGGAATCTTCCTTCTCAAACTCCTTTGCCAGCTGTTCCGCCTCCTCGGAAACTGCTGGCCGGTTCGAGTCCTTCTCGGTCGATTCCTTCTTCATGCTGCAGATGCAGGCACAGCACAGCAGACCACAAAGCTGTGCACTCGAAAAGTTGCTTGCTCGACCCAAAAGGATGTGCAGCACATATGGTGTCCCACTGGCCACTTTAAGTGCATGCACAGCAAAGAATTTCGATGCATGTCTTCTACAAAATCCCTCCGATTCTGCAAACACGAGTGCAGCTGCACATGCTCAATATACAGCCGGAGGCAGGTAGGCACAAGGGGCGCACCTGATCCTCGAGATTTGAAGACATTCTTGAGCTTGCTCTTGTAGTCAGCCTGCATCAATATACCATTCAGTGCTGCTTGATCTCTTGGAAGATTTCACTTGCAGATCTTATGTTTGCACAGAAATCCCTTTCAATGGATTTGGGAGGGATCACATGCACAACACATCCTGCATGCAGTACGTAAATTACACACATGCACCTGTCCTATATGAGCAGGCCTGAGGCATCGGATACCAAAGACAGGACAGCGCACATGGCTCGCTTCATGATGCATGTGCGACTCCCCTTGTAAAGGCTGAGGGCCTGAGAAGTCCATGCCGAGTATCGCATGAAGCGATGTATCACTGTTCCGGAAACCGAACCCCAAATACCGATAAACTCTATCCATGACGTGACCAGACTGTCGTTCAGATGCTCATAGTACGGTATACACTAATCTAGATATCAAGCCCTACGGACTGAATTTGCATCTGGTACACGTTGCATGAGCTACCAGAACCTGCACAAATTGCCTGCGAGGCCGGCTTCAAGATATTATCGCGACATTTGATTGCACACACATGTCACACACCTCTCCCAGACGACTTGCTTATAAGCGACGGTCTTCTTGCACATAGACAAACGATTTGAGCTTCAATGCCGCATGCATGAGCAGATTTATGCTGCTGCATCACTCCAAGACATGTCTGAAGCTGGGCATGGCCCGGCAACTCCAGGAATGTTTCAAGCTCACCCTGTGTATTGTCGTGTGTAATCTACTAAAAACCCATTCCACCGACGACAATCCTGTTGTCAGGCATCTGGAATCTTGCAGTCATCATGAGCATCTCTGGCACAAACACATCGATATCATGCCAAAACTCGATTTGTGGTGCCCACACCCATATAGCAGAACCCACCATATGCCAGAAAACCAAAAGATCAGCATTTTCAAGGTCATTTGTAATGATCCACTTCTTCGGGGCTTTTCAATTCGATGCATAGCCCTCTTCTTTCAAGGCCATTTAGTCTCCAAGGGACTGTTCTGTGGGAAGCCGCGCGCACTCACTTGCTCACACCCACGTACGCACTCATTCGTGCACTCGCTCACTCACACGCGCACTTACTCGTTCAAATCTAAGTTGTGGCATTCGGGGGGTCCGGCTTTTGGATTCGGGGTGGGTGGATTTATGATTCGTGTGGCCCTAGTATTCACGAGTCCCTAATATAGAAACCTCGATTTTGGGGAATCAGTTTTTATGTTAGGGGGTTTCGGGGCATCCGGGTATGAGACCTTAAAATCTAAACCCTATGCCAAAAAAACCGAACCTTCCCGAATCCTGAGCCCTCAACCTTGAGCCCAAAACTTTCCCAAAACCCCTTAGCTTTGAACCTGGACCCCTAGAGCCCTGGGCCCTAGACCTTTAGCGCAAGCCCTAAACCCTGAGCCCTACAGTATAGCTCTGCTGGTGCTTTCGGTTTGATTTGTACTGCTGCAGTCTTGGCTTTATCAGAATACAATCCTAGCCACCCCCCTTAATGTTTGAATCTTCAACTGCTGGCCCGAAACCGCCAATTCCAAAGGCTGGGAATGTTTGTAATAGGGGGGTTTAATGTTGGGGGGAAGCTATTACCGTGTCCGCCCCCCGGCCGCCCTTCCGAACCCTCGCGGAGCGTTTGCACAGTGGAAAGCAGTGTGGACAGTTGTGGCTCACGAGCTACAATGGTTCAGGAAAGCTGTAGTTCAAATCCAAAATCTAAGTGGCTCTAATCCAGAGAGGACGCAGTGTGGCTCAAGCTTAGCCGAAATCCCAAATGTGGCTTCAATCCAAAGAGTACACAATGTGTCGCTCAAGCTTGGCAAGTGGGATCTACTTCCGGCCACAAAGCGGAAGTGCTTCCAGAAGTGCGTGTTTTCGACGACCTGCGTGTGGTTTTATGCAAAATCTTTTTTTTGTTTTTTTTTTTGCACGCACGCCTCTCGGCATCCGTGGCCGCCCCAAATTCGCTCCAGCCTTCTTCCGTCGGTGGCGCCGCATCTCGAGGTGCTGCACGTATGCCTCCTTCTCCTGGAGAGTCATTGCCCTCCACCCCTCACCGGTCTTTAATTTGAGCGCCATGGCTGCGCAAAACTGTTTTTGCTGATCGCCTTGTAGCCAAAAGCTGTATACGCCACATGCGAGGCATGGCGTCTCACAGGAAGGATGTACTGCGGCCAACAGCAGGCAAGTACAACCTTTTCATTCCCACTCAATATAGCGCGGTGCGCTCCGCTGCCACACAGCCGGTCCTTTTGGGGGAATCCTTCGCCCTCAGAGACTACCTCATGTAACGAACTTACACTATAGAATCCCACGCCCGGCCAGGGGGCGAGCCACAAAAAATCAGTCTCTGGTCTCAGGATTGCACAAATAACGGGCCTCTCCATCTGCAGACACCTCGCAATGCCGGTCGCAGAAACGCGGGAGCCCTGGCATTCATACGTGCCGTACACTTACAATAACATGCCCCTGCACCCTTGTGGGGTTTCTAGGGCGGCACAAGCAGAAGCATGCTCAGCCCGTGATCAGCGGGTCCACCAATGCAAGACGTGTAGAACTTCGCAGAGCACGATTTCCAGAACGGCGACCACACTTGCATCGTCCAACGCCGCGCGACCAGACACACACACACACACACACACACACAGACACACACACACACACACACACACACACACTCGTGCAATCCTCCCTCTGGACTGATGGTAATTGTCAGAACTCAGTCTTTCAACATAGAGGTAAAGGATTTTAAGCCGCTGGGCAGTAACATCTAACACTGTTATTGGGGTTTTAGGCTTAGCCCCTGGCCACACTTGCAAACCACTCGCAGAAACACTTGCAGGTACACCAAGCTGATCAGGCTTGGCTTCCCTCTCTGATGCATAGCTTCGTTGGGTACGGTAGCATCAGAGAGCCGTACCCCCCTGCAAAAATAATGCATATCAGCAAACCTTGGCAAACAGGTGTTCCACACACACACCCCGCCAAGCGGGGTAGCCTTTGATGGCATCACAGTGTTGACAGACAGCAGTGCATATTTTACACTAACGGCCTCTCGATGTTGTTACAGCACCGAACAATGGTGGTGGCGAGTCCCATTGATGGGTACGCAGCCTTACATACTGTTAAAGAAGATGATGGCCAGCATGGATGCTGGCAAGATCGAATTTACCATGCAAAAATTGACTTTCACGGAGAAGTGCTCCTCTTCCTTTTCCGAGGAGACTCAGAGCAATCAGTGCGGTTGGAGGGAGCATTGGTGGTCTCAGGCAGGTGTGAGCTTGAGCTCCACAAACTGTCCGCAGTAAGGCGAGTCTGGATCCACTGTTGTGTGGCGGGGAACCACGTTTTCCACCAACGGTCTCGACCATCAGCTGCCGTGCTTTTAGACCAGTAGAAACGCCACGAAATCTGCGGAGAACGAGATCTGCTCCGGTCCGACATGATGTGCTCACTAATCTCCACTGAAAGCGACAAACTACAGATAAACTTCAGCGACAAGCAGAGCATCAGAAACAAAGAGCAATGAGAGACTGCGATGCTGTTCTGCAGCAAGATGATTATGGCATGTCAGCCAGAGGTGAAATGACACGGAAAACTCTCAAATCGGCGATGAGAGTAGAGCTCACGCGAAAACGATCTTCGCGACCGGTGCAGAGCCAATCGAAAAAGATGGCTTTCTGCTGAGATTGCAGCAGCAATTGCCGAAAAGCAATGTACAATGTCCCTTCATAGAGATAAAGAACTGAACGAAGGAAGACTCGGTTTACCGCACCATAAAAGGTGGTCTGTGGCATTGGTGCCGAGTTGTACATCACAGGTACATACAGTACATTGGGCCACCCAGGTGGCTGTGCTGGGCACTCCCTTTGTACAAAATGTTCGCGAATGGAACCATAATTGAGGCTACCAAGCGCGAGTGAAGTATCAGCAGGTAGCACAGAGCGAAAGCGTTGACGTATGCGATCAGAAATGACACGAGCCGCACTGTCCGGATAGGGCTCATCTGATTCAGAAGAATCATCAAGCTCAAGTTGATCGCGATCTTCTTCGGTCCAAAAGGCCGGAGTGAAGTAGAAGAAGAAGATATGCTTTCGCGATGAGACAAAAGATACCACTCTCGCCACAAGGGCAGGTTCGGACATAACCAACGAAAGGGCCGACATGTGGCTTTTGGAGAGAATGGTTTACTGATTGAAGCCGAGGCAGCCTGCAGTTCATGAAAGAATGTCGCAGGTTTTCGGCACAGAAAAATCGCTGTACAGAGACGATCTTCTTTTCTTACATGACAAGAGAAAGCTGTAAAGGGCTTTACTCAGGAGTGTGAAAGGACGTCCCATCACCAAATTCTTCGGCAATGAGCCTGACTGGACAAAGATGGGCACGCACATAATGGCATGTACACCTCAAACCGCTTCGAGCCATCATTTTGGCTACTCCTCTACCTTTGTATACCGTGGTGTTGGCTCCAGTAGGGGGTGAAACAGGTTTGCTGTTGCAAATGGCATCAAGTACCACGTCACCGGTTTTCACAACACGGGAGGTGGTTATTTCTTCTTTACTGCTTGGCCCTTGTCTTTTGAAATCTTTTTGGATTTCTTGGACTTGTGCTTCTTGCTTTTCTTGCGAGAAGCTTCGTCTTTGGGACTTTTCTTCTGCTCACGGGAAGACCGAGCTTCCTCAGGAGGATCAAACGCAGAATGCCACGAAGACGTCGATGAAACAGGTGAAGGCTGCCGATGCTCCAC